AGTTAATAATGGCAATAGATACTGTAACATGAAACTTAGCAATACATTTATTCTATCAAACACCCAATGTATGAAATACTCTTTTTAAAAAGAAATTTCAATACTATAGACTGTTGCACATTTAGGAAATCAGTTATCTTAACATGATGGTGTGCCTTTGGCCTTTAATATTATTTAGCAGTTCTTGTTCCTTCTGCTAAATGGATTCTCTTCTTATTTAAATCTGACAAATGTAGTTTTCCTTTTCCCAATCTTCCTCAACATTAAAAATATGCAAAAATACTGGAAGCCATGGAAAGACAGGATTCCTGATCACACAGAAAAAACTATATTGCACAGAAGAACTATGAACACTTCAGGAAAAGTATACAGTCTTCTCTTATTTATGTTGATATATGTTGCATAGGGTTATTTTAAACTAATCTCAGATTTGGAATATATGTAAACTATTTCTCTCTGCCACCATATTCTTGAAGCATGCGATAGCACCAGCAGGAATAAAAGTGCATTCCTGTTTTGTATTGACTGGACATCCACTAACAGCCCTGCATTTTGCCACCAGTGTTAAGAAGATCATAGTCAGGCCATGTTGAATATCTAAACAGTGGTACACTTTTTCTAGCTCTATCACACATACCTACCACACTATTTCCATCAGAGTAAGCCACATCATGCAAAGAGTAAAAAGGGAGTAAGAAATAGCCAAAAAAATTAAAGGCAGGAGATATGGAAAAAGAAAAGGAACCTAGCTAAATCTAGTTTAACTTAATATTATTCACTATACCTCTCCATACTTTTCTGTCCATCCTTGCTTCTACCACATCCATACACTATTTTATACATGGTCTTTTGTTCTTTAAACTTCTCACCTTTCTCCTTTTCAAGATCTCCTGAATTCTATCCAGCCATGACTTTCTTGATCTTTCCCTTCCTGTCAACCCATTCGCTTTTCCTTTACACATATTTGTTTTGAAATTTGATCCTCATTTATACTCACTATAAGACCAAACCACCACAGTGTACTTCTTTTGTACCAGTCACTCACTTTTGTATTCAATTCACATTTGTTCAGCACCAATTCATCCTTGATGCTATTTCTCTTTGCTTTACTGTAGACATTTCTTAAACAATCCATTCCCATGGCATTCAGTTTACTTTTATGTTTCTCCTGACATACCCAATTTTCAGTTCCATATAACAAGGTGTATGGAAGCATGCTTTTTATTTACTGTAAGCCTTTTCTTACTTCTTTTGATAAACATTTATTCTTCAGAATGGACCTTAATGCAACCTATTATCTTTTTAGCAGCATTTCCATGTCTCAATGTTTCTCCATTTCCCCATCTTTAGTAAGAATTCTGTTAGAGAGAGTCAGTTTGGTGTAGTGGTTAAGGTGCTGGCCTAGAAACCAGGCACTGTGAGTTCTAGGTCTCCCTTAGGCATGAAAGCCTGCTGGGTGACTTTGGGCCAGTCACTCTCTCTCAGCCCAACCCACCTTACAGGAGTATTAAGTATGTTCACCACCTTGAGTCATATATTAAAAAGGTGAGATAAAATATACTAATAATAATGTACACAAATTCACCTATTTGCTACTTTCTCATTTGTATAGCATGCACTCCCAACCAACAGGCTGGCCCAAGACAATTATCAACAGAACAAAGTAACAATCAAAGCAAAAACAAAATAATACACAAAAGCAAATAAAATAATGTGCACACACACACACACACACACACTTGCAATAAATCCTTCTATTTCCCTACATTTTCATTTCCCTAAATCAACTCTATTTCACAAATCAGACCATCTTCATTCATATCTATTACATCCTTTTGCTTTCTTAGTTTCGCAGACACATAAACCCAGTGGCGTGCTGGCATATGTTAAGAACTGGCTGTGCCAGCTTCATTGCCACCGCTGCGCCATGTCACTAGTGCCAAACAGCACTAGGCATCGTGGTTCATCTCTGTTCTCAAGTGGCTGACAAAATTCCAGAAAATTTAACAAACAGCTCTTGCAAGCCGGTGCAAGCCAACTACTTTGATCTTTGATACATTAATTTTCAGATCCAAACTCCTCAGTTCATCAGGCAATCTTTTTAATATTTTTTGCAAATCATTTTGGTTTTCAGCCAAAAGCAAAAAAATATGCATACATTCAAGTCCCCAACAAACAAACCTCCAAACTCACCACAAGCATGTATTATACTAACCCTAAATACAATAAACAACCAAGAGGACACTCCACATCCTTGTCTTACCCCTTGCTCAAAAGTTAATAATTCACCAAGCATTCCATTTGTCCTCATGTATTTTTTATGTCCCTGCCATACAACTGACATCACATTCTGCAACCAAACTTCAATTTAATAGTGGTACAGAACTCTTCACAACCCTGCTGAAGAACAAAATCTGGTCTGCTTACCCCCTACTCAGCATAAAGCCATGCTTGGCTTCCCAAATTTTGCTCACTGATCACCTTCTTTGATCAGAATTGTGCCAAACATCTTCCCGGGCACATTTAACAAATTAATCATCCTGTGGTTTTTGCTTTCGTTTTTGCTCCTTTCCCCTTTGTATAAGGAAACAATAATTGCATTCTGCATCACATTCAGTTGCAGCCTTCACAAAGACCCTAAGCAAGCCACACAGACACGCCATAAGCAAACCAGATCTATATTTTAATGTACTGCCACTATCTCCACCTGCACCCCTACCACCTGTACCCTTTTTCAATATTCTCACAGCATTTATGACTTCCTTTTCATCAAGATTTTCTTGGACACTAACATTTGTAGCATTCATTTCAGTTCCATTCTTCTACATAACACTATCATTCCAGCACAATCTCTAAAACTACTGGAAGTCATTGCCTGATTGAATAAATAAATAAAATACTCCTTCCAGCATTCCCTCACAAGTTTCATCCCAAATCATTTCATCGCTTTTATTTTTAATTCCATTCACTCTGCTGGAGGCTCCTTGTTTAGTTCTTTTCACACATTTCCAAAGTAATTTTTTATTTCCATCAAAATTGCTCTGCATTTCTTTGTCTCTTTTATTCTTAACCCTTCCTTCCTCTCTGACTTACTTTTTTTTGGCGGGGGGGGGCTATATGTATTTGTGCAATATATTTCTTTTCATCCTTTTTTTCAACAGACATTTTCTTACATAAATTTCTTCCTCATCATCAGCCTTTTTCTCATCATCATTTCACCTAGCATTCTTTTTCAAATTTCCTCTTAACTCACACATTTCTGTGGCACCCTGCAATGTAATTCTTTTCATTCTGTTCCAAACAGCTTTTACACCCTCTTTTCTTGTATCCATTTTCAATTCATTCTCATGGGAAATCAATCTATCTTCTAATACTTTTTCATAATGGATTCCTTCATTTTTTTAAATGCAGTCATTTACTTTCCTTCTGTTTTACTTCTTTCCTTTTCTTCCATGTCCATGTTTCCCCTAAGATCCACTCTTGACACTAACAAGAGCTGGTCAACCCTCCTTCAGAACCTCCCATCACTCTTGGATCCTCCACTAATTATTTCAGGCTTTTATCACAGACAATCAAATCAATCAGGCTTTTAGTTTAATATTAATTCCTTTGCCATGTGTATGTATGAATAAACATATTCTTAAACCACATATTCAAAACAAAAATATATTTTTGTAACAGATACCCACTAAGCAATCACCATTACCATTCATTCTTGACTTTCCAAATGACATTTTTACATACTCTCCATCTCACCCATCTATTCATGTCACCTAACAAAATACCACAAACACCCCAATCGCATGCATTATGTTACATACTTTTTCCCAAAACCCATATCCAGTTTTTCTATTATTACGATTCACTAGAACATAACACACAACTATCACCAACTAATAGATACCTACTTTCATAAGTATCCATAACAATCAAGGCAACACCAATTCATATCTTCTGACATACACTCTATGCCTTTTATACATAATTAAACGTACACCTTCACTATCCTGCATCTATTCCATTTCACAAAATTAAGCTCTCTTTATTCATATCCTTTCCCTTAGTTTCACAGACACGCAACACATCGATTTTTCATTAGTTGCATTGCTTGGATGCCATTGTATATATTTTGTATTTATCTACTGTACATATTTAATATATATGGTGAGTATTGGTTTTGGTTTATTGTTTGTTTTTTATGCTGTTCGCTACCCAGAGTCACACTGTTTGAATTGGTCAGCCTTACAAATCTCAAGAATAAATAAATAAGTTAATTCATGCTTTTTTAGCAGGTATTCCTCTTTCTCAATATCATATCATATTCCACCTAAATTTGCCTACAGATATGGACTTCTGTTGCTCATCCTGGCTTTGGTTGATCAAGGCTTTCACATAATACTGTTTATTAATATGAAGTGTAGACCAAGATACCAGCTGTAGTTGTCCTGATGCCACAAGCAGCATTCCATAACAATCTTAAAGACAATACTGGTTATTTCTGATACATTTTGGCCAGTATCCTAGAAATGCAAGTAAAGCCAGGTTCTACTCCAAGGATGCTCAGACGATTTTATGCAACCTAGGACCTCTAATATAGAGCCTATTTTGCAAGCCAATGTACTATTGCTCATATCCCACCAACTAGAAGGTACATGCAGTGTACTGACAGACACTCCAGATGTATACCCTGCCTCTGAATTAAACATTTTGCATGTTTAACTCTCATGGGTAAATCTGTATGGTTGAATGCTTTCTGTGAACCAACTGCTAGTGAACTTGATTGAATAATCCTCACTCTATTACAATATTGAGAGACATTGTTTTTTTCCCTTACACATCATTTTTAATATGACATGTCGTCTCAAGACAATAGAATCACTGAGGGGGTTGTGGTTTGTTTTGTTTTTTGGCTGTCACATCACAGGACAAATTCCAGTATTGATGTCAGCTAGAAATTTAAGGAGACATTAGCAGAAAGGTTCCAACTCTTGTGCACATACTTGATATCAGCAAATGCTGTCATCTGGAGCTTCAGAAGACCGGCAACTTCCTTTATTAAGTCCAAACCTTTTTCTTCACTCAGTGGGCTGTTGAAAAGAAGCAAGAAAACAGCATTACAAAAATGGAACTCATCAATACATGAGAGGCTAAAAATCCCCAAAGAGTTATCACCTTCGCCTGTTAGGTAGGTTGAAAGGCAATGCTTACAGTATTCCTGTCACATAGTGATTGCGATATCAAGGGAAATGGGATCAGGTGCTTTCTCGGGCATGATGAATCACCTGAATTTTCCAGCAATAAGACAAACAATAAGGTGTAAATGGAATTGTTAGGAAGTGTAATGGGTCCAATGATGCAGGGACCAGTTCATCTTGGTCCCCAATAAAAAATGTAATGCAGTTTAAAAAGAAAGAGAAGAAAAGGGAAAAAACGATGTAAGAGAAAAATGGCAAGATGAGGCTAGCGACAAACAATGGAAGTAAATTGCAAGCCTCTATCAAATGGACAAGGAAAAATCCGCCTCCCCATTCATTAGTTGCTAAATGAATTCTTGCCCAGCAAATGACAAAAACGTTATAAATTCAAGAATAATAATAATAATAATAAAGAACTATCCTGCAGGCAGTAATTGAGGAGGAGGCATGTGTCTGTGTGGTATACAAAGACCTTGTATTCAAACCTTTCTGAATATTTTATTTTATTTTTAACTGGAAAATGGGATTGCAATATGTCTGCAACATTTTAAATCAAATGGGATTACAGAATATTTACACAATTCCAGCAATAAAAAAAACAGCATATACAAAACACATACATGTATGAAATAATACGTCCTTTTCCACCCATCACGCACATTTCACTCCAGGGATCCTCATGTTATATTGTAAAACAATGTTTGCAATGACAGTAGTTTAAATAAGGAGAAAAGAGAGAGAAATTAAGCTCAAAGAAAGATACATTGATTTTTTTCCCCTCCAGGCTTGTACCTCAGAGATGTGTTGGCCATGTTCTTGGATAAGTGCAAGGTAGGGCAAATAGCAATATTATTACTATACACTGCTAAGCCAGGCAGATGATCTGGGCAAAAATCTCCTGGAGCAGATACAGAACTTTCAGGGATAAGAGACCTAGTAATAGTGGGAGATTTCAATTATCTGGACATCTGGTAGAAAACTGATGCATCCAAGACTGAAAGTCCCCCAAATTCCTCAGTGGTCTTGCTGACTGTTTCATTTCTCAGAACGTTGAAGAAGAGACAAGAGATTGGATCTCCTAGATCTGATCCTAACCAATAGGGAAGAGCTGGCTAAAAAGATAAAAGCAGTGAGAACCTTGGGAGGAAGGGACCACGTTAATCTGGGTTTCAATATACTACAGAAAAGAAAATTGGACCATAGTCAAATTTTAGGGGAGCAGATTTCAATAAGCTTAGGGAAGTACTAGGGCAGAAATGCTCAAGTGAAAGGATTGGGAACATCTCAAAAATAAAATACTGGAAATACAATCGCACTCCTTTTCATTGAGAAGAAGAATTGGGAGATAGCGTAGGAAACCACTGGGGATGCATAAAGAGCTTTCAACTGAGCTAAGAGTTAGAATGTACATGTATAGGAAAAGGTAGATGGGTATCATCATCAAGGAAGTGTCTGTAGAGAGGTGCTGCCCCGTTGCCATCTTCTCTCCATCCCATTCAAGGAAGTGTACCTGTAGGTAGCTAATATCTGCAGGAAAAGAATCAGACTATACTTCGGAAGAAACCTGGGCTCCCAAGGAAAGCAAAAACAACCAAAAGTGTTTTTTTCAGTTATGTCAGAAAAAAAATGCAGACCTACTGTTTGAGAAGATGACAGGGGCAAGGCAGAGTTTCTTCCCCCAAAGAGAATGGTGTCCAAATGGGCCTAAGTGACACAAGAAAAGAGTGGCAATTCAAGATAAACAAAGAGATAGGCAGCATCTGACTCCTATGTTCAAGTGTTAATTTCCAGGACCAGATTAATTGCATCCAAGATTCTTGAAGGAGCTTGCAGATGTTCCTTTCTGGGATCTTTGAGAATTTGTCAGTCCTTTGAGGTAGGCCATCTCAAGAAACAGGCATCACAGGGATTCCAGGAAAGCTACTTTATTGTTGTAGGATATTAACAAAATATTGAAAGCCTGCCCAAAGCCTTCAGTGTCCTATTTTTAATGACAAAAAAGGTCAGGATGAGGGTGTTCTGAGTGTCTTTCTCACACTTTCTTCTTACCCAGGTTGAGCAATCACTTCGTCTCTCCCACTTCCTTCTGAAGGCCAGAGCTAAATTCCTCAACAGAAATCATGGAGAAGGGGGCATGGTACTAGATGACTGAGAAGGGCAAATATAGCTCCTGTCTTTAAAAAGAGGAAAAAGGAGGAACTAGGTAGCTACAAACTGGTCAGCTTGACTTTGATTCTAAGCAAAAATCTGGAACAGATTATTAAGCAGTCATTTGTGAACATTTAGAAAAGAATACATCGCTGTGCAAAAGCCAGCATGGATTTAATAAGAACAAGTCATGATTTCTTTTTTTGACAGAGTGACCATTTTAAGTGACCACAGGAATATAGTGGACATAGTGTACTTTGATCACACCTGGAATTCTCCATCCAGTTCTGGGCATTCACTGAAAAAGAGCAGTACTTCTCAACCTTGGCCACCTGAAGATGTGTGGACTTCAACTCCCAGAGTTTCCCCACCACCACAATCTGCCTGGGGGAAACTGGGGGTGAGAGTCAAACAAACTCACCAGGGCCAAGACGTAAATACAAAGGA